CATTCATCTTCCTTCGCATAACCAAAGATATACTTAGCAGCAAACAGGCAGCAGCAACCAGAGGAACCACAAAACCAACATGTCCACTTGGCCAGTTCCTCAAAACCCACCCTGCACAATAATCTCCATCAAGACTCCCCATTGAGTTATTCAGCTTCATGATCTCAATACCATTCAAAACACCATCAATGGCGTAAGGTACGCTCATATTCGATGGTCCTACACTTACCCTAAGAACACCCGAATCGTCTCCATCAACCACGAAATCGGCATAGAACGGAGAAGCCAATATGTAGTTGGAAGCCATAGATAGATCCAGATTCTCATATGCCAAATTCCCATTCACATACACATTGAAATACAGCAAACCGATGGAAATACTAGCAATGTCACAGAAATGCATCCTAACCAGATACTTATATCCTGCAATGGCAGGAAAAACCCATGTCATATTGACCTTGGGGATTGAAGCATTTGTGCTGTGAATCACTCTGGCAGAGTTATACACATTATCAGGGCCAACTTCCCGGCTAGCCCCTCCATCCTGATACTTGATCCGGCCACCAAAATACACCCTTTTCGACCCTGAATTCGGTTCCAAATACTCATCATCAGTAACCCAAGTCCTCCATATAGAATCATTAAACGGCGTCACTTTAGAACCCCCCACATTGACCCTATGCACAACTTGAAGCGCTTGCTTAGCTAACCCATTAAAATCCTCAACTTTATCAGAACTCACAAACTTTGCCGTATCAGCAACAAGGTCCTTAGGCGCAGATATAACCTCAATCGCATTCACAAAAGCAAAGTTTGATTTTTTAGCAGGAACAAACTCAATTACAAGCTTTCCGGTACTAACCCAGATCAAGAACTCCATAACCATGGGGCTTTCTACACCCCCAGCTCTGAAGTCGGCCAAAGCCACAAACCCATTAACCAAGACATGAAATTGAGTGTTGTTCCAATCGAATTTCAAAGAATTAAAGGTCTGAAAATGGAGGCGTACCATGTGGGTCCCTTCGTCCCGGATCTGGAACTTGTACTTGGAAGGTCGCCTGAAAGCCCTAGCCGTGCTGTAGATTTGGGGCGAATTGGGAGGTGGGTTTTCATTTCTGAGTGTGATGGAGCGGGTAGAGGAGGACAGAGACGAGTCGCGCTTGGCCGAGTCGGGAACGAATAGGCGATTGTCGACGGTGGAGCCCACGGTGGACCCGCAGTCGATGAGGAAGTTGTCTAAGGGGGAGAAGGAGGAGTGAGAGAGGGCCGAAAGGGTGGAGAGAGCGAGTATTGAGAGGGAGAGGATGAGCTTTCTGTATTGGGACTCCATGGGAGGAGGGTTTGAGCTTCAGAAATGAAAATGTTGGGGAAGACCGAGACTTGAGTTTCGGGTTCTTGAGGGTGGGAAAAATCCGAGTCGTTGGCGGGACCCACGCGTTCGGAGCTGATAGGCTGGACCTTTTTTGGGTTCGGCTTGTCCATGTCGGATGATGGTGGTGCGGTACAACTGTGTATGTGACCAATTTTTTGTCCACATCGTTGATCATTCCTACGTGGAATTTACAAGGTGTAAAATTCAGGCAGTTGACTCATCCTTGTTTCTAATAGCTACCCAAATTATGTACACATCATTGCATATTTGAAAACAATTCCTTTTTTCTTTTTGAGCTGAAAACAATTCTCTTGCCATCGCAATGCTTGTTTCAGTCGCCATGCTGGTCTTAAGTTGAGCATGTATGTTATCTCAAGGTTAACTTTAGCGACTTCCAACTGTTTATGCATGTGAAGTCCACAATGCATCAACGGTTGAGAGTCACACATACATACATTAGTGATTGTTATAAGCAAAATCCTTATAATACTACATATTATATATCTTTGGCACATTATGTAACAAAAGCAATCACAAGTAGTAATGTCATTAGCCTTTTTTTTTTTTTTTTTTGGGTGAGACATTAAAACATATATATATATATATATTCCAAATTGGTATTCTTGTTGAACTCACTAATATAGGTGAATGAACTTTCGTTTTAGGCCACAAAGAAGATAGGGAGGTGAAGAGATTCCAGCTTTCAAAACTCCACCCTCATTTCATAGGATGATATGAGCCCATAATGATCACGTAACTCATAAATTTTTCTTAAAAGAAAGGTAAAACTGCCGATTTGATTGTGAAAATAAAGTTTCATTGAAAGTTGAGAAATCAATCAATTTGCCAACCTAGTTATTTAAACTAAAACACAAACTTTGGTTGAAGTATGCAAGGGGGTTTAGATGAGAAAATGGTTTTCCTCCTACGACCTCCTACGACAAGAAAAAATATTTTTCCAGAATGATCACAATCGAAATGTGTTGTTATTTTCGTACGTCTCCATAAAAAAAAGGCAAAGTTGGCAATATTTTGGCTTCTTTTCTCATTCAATCCTCTTTTTTTTGGGTTAATTTACACTAACTATTTTCTCTAATCAACATCCAATATTCGGATACAAAGGGATGTATGCTAGTTAGTAAACTTTTCTGTTTCTTTGCAAAGGAAAAAATTCAACAAAATTGTGAATGGCTAGGAAGGCTCTTTGCAATCTTATATACTCTACCGCACTTCGACGACTTCATCTTCATTGCATGCTCCTACATCAATGACCATGGTGCCGTTCTTCTTGGTGTTTGGCAAAATTCTGCAGCAATTTCTCCTTGGGGACTGCTCAAATTACAAAATTGTCAATGTATGAACATAATCTATGAAAAGATTAAATGTGAATACTACTTGTACCAAAGTAATAATAATGTGCAAACTAGCAATGTATGACGAGCAACTCATGAGACATTAACTGGTGCAAGAATCAGTACGAGACTCACATCAATCAAGGACTCTCTGTTACTTGCGCATGCGTTGATAGTTCATGCTAATATTTAGATTAATTACCTTGTCCCATAAATGTGGATTGGGTGCTTTATAAACATGCACTTTTTTAATCCGGGAGGGATTTGCCATCTTCCAGTGGCATTCTGGGTCCGGTACTCGATCGCGAACATACTCAGTAGCTGTGTGGCTCGCATTTTTATTGTATACGACATTAGAAAAGTAATACACAAATGGTTGTTGACACGGGTTCCGACCGAAACGGCGCGTGTTGAATTCGTAGGTAGTATAGTCAGCTTTCTTGTACCAATTGAGGAACGTCCTAGATGGCATTTCAATTTCTCGGGGCGAAAAAATGCCTCGAAATATTTGAATCGTGTATCCCCATGAAACGGATACGGTCCAGGATCGGGTCTTGTCGTAACAAATGGATTGTTGTAGAAGCCCGGCGGAGTCGATCTTCATCGGGGCCTGGAGCCTTTGCAGGGCATGGACCCTGTCCATGTTGGGGAATATGGGCTCAAACACATCCAGGTGGTGGAGGGACACTAGGGGTGTGACTGGATGAGCTGCTAGAAGTCCAAACAAGCTCCCATATACATCATACTGAGTAAAATCCCACAAATGAAAACAAATTAGAAGAAGAAAAACTTTGAATTAGAAAATGACAATGACTTTGCACTATATATGGTCATGTGATTCATGCAACCCTCATAAGAAACTTGACAAGAAAATCAAAGAAAATTCAAGGACATTGGAAATTTGTGTACAAATCAATTGGATTTCCAAAAGCTTAGGTAAATTAGTCAATCTGTTGGTTGAATTTTGAAATGCTGCAAAGACACCACAAAAGGTATGCAACATAAGTCAATAGTCAAATATGTATTTTATTGGACGGTGGTAAGACTAGCTCACCAAACACCACCAAATCTAGTCCATTTCATTAGAAAAATAAATCTAGAATAATATGCAGTACAATGAATTAAAGTTACCACAATCCAGGATGTGGTTGGTAATTGGGGTTACAGATAATCTTTTCTTTTTCTTTTTTAGAATTTTATTGACATAAATAAGCTGAAACAACTCTTGGAAAAGTGTTAAGAATGTAATCTGAAAAGAAACTACCATTAAATGTTGAGAAAAATAGAAACGTTTTGATTCTACCATAAACTTTTGGTTGATCTTTTTTCACAAACAAAATAGTCGCAATTAGTCCATCAACAACACTCAAAGAAAATCTGACGTATCATCGGTTTAGGTCGCATACAATCATGAATCTATACAACCGGTTATACTTAAGATTTTCTCGGAGACTTAGATTTTCCTTTGCTTTCCTCTGTTTTCTCAGTAACCAACCAAAAGATAAAGATTTATAACCAAAACACAGACAGAGAACTAACCTGGTGAAATCCTTGTTCTCTGGTGAGAGGCACACCAAGCTCAGCCATACAAGCCTGAAGCCTATCGTCTGAGCCGTACAATCCAGTGTATCTTTCTATGCACCTGTCCTGCATTTTCTCTAGTGCCTTGGCTAATGGGTAACTTATAGCAATCCCCCCTCCACCGTAGGCCATGTTGTATGAAAAATAAATGTTCTGCAAGTGACTCTCTGATGAGCTCCCAATATAATAAAACTGGTTATGGTCATATTTCTGCAAAACCCTGACCAGATTCTCAGTCACAAAAACTGTGTCATCATCCCCCATCACAAACCACCTCACATTCTCCATGCCTAGCCTGAAATTCTCCGAAACTATGCGTGACAAGCGTATCGCAGACTGATGGCCTTTCGGGTGCTTGTACTCAAACTTGGAAGTATCACTGGAAATCTTTATAGGTGGCAAAAGGTGATCATGCTCAGGCTCCATTTTTACAGGCTGATCCAACCAAACATTGCCCCTCATTTGGTCTGCCTTCCACCATAGCTTGATGTAGTTTTTCCTATGGCCCCACATATTGGCTGAGGCTGCAATGCCAAAGACTATATGGGATATGTTTGTTTTGGCCTCTTGGGGTTTTTCTGGGGTTGTAGCTGTAATTGGCTGAGGAATTGGAGGCAAGGAAACCTTTGGTTTTGGTTGTGATTGGACATGGGCAGTGAAAGATTGCTGCTGCCTACAAAGATTGGAAGGCGAAACAGATTGTAGAGAGTAGGAGATGTAGAGGAAAGAGATCAAAAGCAAGAAACATAAGGTGATCTTTTTGGAGGTCCATCCTTCTGCAGGGTCTTTATGATTGCCTTTCATGGTGAAGAGAGGCTGTGTGTGTTTTTGGGTTTGGTTGATCATAATTTCCAAGAGATCAAAGAAGGAAGAAAGGTCACAAAGTTTTGTTTTTGGGATCAAATTGTGATACCCAAAAGGCAAAGCTGGGACAGTCCATTTCTAATAGAACTAGCAGAGAATTAAAAGCCATGTGGTTGGTTCATTCTGAAAAGAAATCTAAACGCTATTAAAACAATGACTTGTGTTCATAATTTCCGGCGTATTTCTATCTATCTACACTTTCGTGTTCTGTCAAGATTTTTATTGGTCAGAGAGTCCTCTCACTTTCATATATATATATATATATATTAAATAATTTTTTATTATATATGTATATATAATTATTTATTTATTTTTCTTGTTTTAGAAAGAGGTAAATAAGTTTTCAGTATTTGTAGAATTTTTTTTTTTTGTTTTTCTAACAGATAATGATTATGTTTTGTCGATTGGGATTGAGACTTCGTACTCAACACGTACTTTTTTATTTTAAGAGCAGGTTTTTTTTTTATATTTATAATCTTTTTGGGTCTAAAAGTTTAAGAGCAGGTTTGACAATGCTCTTGAAAGGTGTAAAAGGGTTTTTGAATGTGTTTGGTAGAGAAACTTAAAGTAGGATTTTTCAAAGAGCATTTGGACTAAAATTTCAACGTGCTTCTAATACAAGAAGCATTTGGACTAAAATTTCAAAGTGCTTCTAGTAAAAGTTTTTAGAAGCAGAAGTACTTCCTATAAAGCGGTTTCCAATCGAACCATAACTTAAGCATACTTTGCTAAATTCCAAAGCATACAAAATATAGGAGCCTTCTAATACGAGTGGTACAAGATGTATGATTGACATCTAAAAGGAGTGTAAGTAGATAAAATTGGAGTGGGGAAATCACCGCTCTTGTTAAAGGATCCGTAATTTATTGGGTACCATTGTGTGTTTGAGTGAGGATGATACTATATTTTGTATTACATTATTTTTGGGGTCAAATGTATTGTTAAGTGTGAGTGGATAAAATTGGGGTGGGGAAATCATTAATATTCCGTTCCATTTTCAGCCTAATCTTCCACCGTCAGATTGTCATACTAATGGGCCAGTCAAAGGCATCGGACGAGCACGAAACAGTCGGAGGCTAAAGCGACGCGTGCTCCTCATGCTTTCATACTTGGCCTCAGAAATGAGCCTTCTCTTTCATACGCGTTGAGCTCCGAAGCTCTGTCGGCTTGTCTTATTTCCCAAGCAAAGTAAAGAAGCTCGATCACTCTTCTGGGTCTCTCAGAATTTTCATGTGAACCGCCAAAATCAACCGTAACAGGTAGGTAGCTATTTTAATTCCCACTATAAAGCTCTGTTTGGTTGCCGATAAAGCGACTGAAAGCAACAGAAACTAAATTACAGAGTTAAAAGATCATTTTACCTTTTCTTTTTTCAAAGGGGCCGCTAGTGTATGTTTTAGTTGGGTGAAGTGTTTGATCTTTGGGGACCAGCTTGAAAGAAAAAAATTCATCGATTCACTGTTTGGTTTTTGTTTTCTTCATTTTTCTCGGCATCCAGACAGGGGTCTAGGGTTTATGTATAGATGTTTATCAGCATTGTTAAGCTTGAGTTCATATTTTTTAACCTATGTTTCATTATATTGTCATTGGGTTTTTGCATTTTGTATTTATAATCATTTATTATTAATTTGCTTTCTCCTTCCCCTCCCCCCAATTTGCAGATTAAGATACCATGAAAGAGTTAGTTAATTCTAACCAGGTCCTCTTAAGCATGTAGAGATTGAAGAGTGCCTTTAGTATTATAGAATAGTCTGGTATACTAAGCTTTCTCAAATGGGTGGAGTTAGGCTTTCCATATTGAAATCACTTTGCAAGTCTACCAGTTGTTCTTATGCGAAATTTGGCAGTTACCAGCATATAAGACCAGCATATGCATTTGTAAATCGCAGTTACCATTCCAAGGAAACACAATCTCTTAGAACTTTTGTGAAGACGCATTCTAGAGCATTGGGTTCTGAATCACTTGCCAACATCCAATCTTACAGGACCAAACCCATTTCAGCATTTTCACCCACATTGTCAAATTCACATATTAGGAGTGCTACTCCTCTTGTTTTGGTAAATCCAATTTTGAATAGCCGTTCATACTCATCATCTGTTGGTAGCAATGCTGATAAAGCTGGGCAACCAGGACTAGGAGTTCCGGCTGCTTCTGGTGGCAGTGAAGTGGATATTGGTAATGGTGGTATTGTTGGCAGTGATTGGGTTGCTAAGGTTAAGGATGTATGGCAGAGTGCTGTGGATGCAGCAACTTATTCTGGACAGAAGGCTAAAGAAACCTCTGTTGAGCTGTCTCCTTATGTTCAGCAGTTGCTGGATTCCTATCCACATCTTAGAAATGTGGTTGTTCCTGTTGGTTGTACTTTGGCAGGTACTATATTTGCTTGGCTGGTGATGCCGAGGCTTTTCAGGAGATTTCACAAGTACGCAAGTCAAGGGCGCACTGCATTACTATCAGGAAGCCTATCTGAGGAGCCAGTTCCATATGAGAAAAGTTTTTGGGGTGCTTTGGAGGATCCAGTGCGATATCTAGTTACTTTCATGGCATTTTCGCAAATGTTAGTGGTTTCAACTTCAAAGATATGCTTCATAATCATCCTATTTTTATTTGTATATATGCATTTTTGTTTTCCACTGTTAAACAATGAGGAGGACTTTTATTTGCAGTGGCATGCTGGTAGCACCGACCACTATAGCTTCTCAGTATCTTGCACCGGCATGGAGAGGTGCAGTTATCCTTTCATTTGTGTGGTTTCTGCATCGGTGGAAGACAAATGTGTTCACTCGTGTATTAGCGACTCAAACTTTGCCTGGTCTTGATCGGGACAAGTTGCTAGCTATAGATAACATTTCATCCATTGGTCTTTTTGTGATTGGGATAATGGCTTTAGCTGAGGCATGTGGGGTGGCTGTGCAATCAATTCTTACAGTTGGTGGCATAGGAGGTGAGGATTAGCTCCTAATTGCATATTCTTTTTCATATCTATTTCATCCATGACAGTTAGAAAAATCTGCAAATAAAATTTTAATTTAGCTATCTTTGTAAAGCATATTTTGTTGTAATATGCAAATAAGGTTATTAGATTACATCCGAAGGTTGCATCTCTTGATTTTTGGTCATATGGTTATATGTATCACCCACACCACACTAAAGATTCATTTTTGGATGCTCTTGTTGGGATTGACCTCGTCTTATTAAGACTCAACTTTTTCACCGCCGCACTTAATGCAGGAGTTGCTACTGCTTTTGCTGCCAGAGACGTCCTTGGAAATGTTCTAAGTGGTTTCTCTATGCAGTTTTCAAAGCCCTTTTCGCTTGGGGATACAATAAAAGTATGTTATCATGCATTTACGCTATGTGTTCCTCGATTCCATTTGTTCTTTGTCATAGGCAAAATGTTTCTCAAGCATTCGTTCCTTTCTTGTGATTCTAGTAAGAGAACTGTGCCATGGGTGTCTTTGTTTCTCCAAATTTGTAGTAACATAATGAAATTAAGGAAATATTCAAGGTTGTATGAATTACCATGTCAGCGCTGCATACCTAGAGTTACATAGTTAATTATCTTTATTTGTTAACTGTTACGTAATTGTGTAATCTTTTCTTAAATCTAAGTATCAGGCATCTTTCAGTCATCCCTTGGTTGGCTACACCGTACTTTGTACAGTGATCTCAAACCCCTCATTGATTATAATAACACTTGCTTCTGGAAATGAAGATATGATACTTTCCAGATTGCAATTCAACCAATTAATTTTATTGCTTATTTTGTTATAACTTCCTCTGCAGATGTATAAATTATTAGCCAAATATAATCATAGACTTATATAAGTAATAGGAGCTGTCATTCATTGGATAAACGTTATACCTTCTGTGTATTTGTTCTGAATCAATGATTTCAGGTAATTTTTGTGATATCTAATGTATTATCTGCTTCCTGTTTTTGATATTTCTTTTCTTCATGATGTTAAATTTTTTACGTATTGCAGGCTGGAGCTATAGAAGGTCAAGTGGTGGAAATGGGACTTACTACCACTTCGTTATTGAATGCAGAGAAGTTCCCTGTCATAGTTCCGAATTCACTGTTTTCGAGTCAGGTTGGTGCTTCTCTTTTATGCGTGACACTTAAACATGGGCACCCATTATACTGAAAACCACCAATCCCGTTTTAAAGTTAAAATCACCTAAGTTCATTGCACCAGTGTCATCCTGGGTATGGTTTAACATTAATATAATAGTGGCTTGATTTATCCATTTAGAATGTTTTGTCACGATATATCTCAGAAAGTTTCATGTAAACTTTGTAGGTAATTGTGAACAAGTCACGTGCGCAATGGCGTGCCATTGTCACAAAAATTCCCCTGCAAATTAATGATTTGGATAAGATTCCCCAGATATCAAATGATATAAAGGGCATGCTAAGGTCACACTCGAAGGTGTTCTTGGGAAAGGAGGCCCCTTACTGTTTCCTGTCTCGTCTGGAAAGTTCTTTTGCCGAATTGACTCTTGGATGTAACCTCAAACAAATGGTAATTCCCGCTCCATTCAATATTCTTATCATACTGAATACTTAAGCATCCGCTTTAATATTCATTTTGTGATTACAGAGCAAAGGTGAGTTGTACTCTACCGAAGAAGAGATTATTCTGTTGTCGGCCCAGATAATCAAGGAGCATGGTGCTAGGTTGGGCAGCACCGTCCAAGATATGACCACTCAATAGTCTCACGAATTTATGACTGCTATCATACAGAGAAAAGTTTTTGATGAATACGAGTCACCACACACAACACTAGTTTGTCTTAGGTTTGGTTGTCTTGACAAGAGAGCTGCATGTAGGATCCATTGTGTAATATCCATTGCTGTGTCTTTTTCAACACAACTGTCAAGGTTTTATCTTTTATGTGAAAATATTGTATGGAATCGCCCCATCCACTCTATGGTGGGTGAGATTTGACCGTTGCAAGGAACCGGGTTTCATATTTGAAATGTGGTTGCAGGCTCAACGCCATTTGGTTGAGAAAAAGATTGAGCAAGTGGCATATAACATATCACGTATCAACAATTATGGAGAACATCACTCTCTTTCTTTCTTGCTTTCTTTGCATGGTTTGGTTTGGTTTTTCCCCTTCCAGGAAAAGCTTACCCAAAAATTGAAACATAAAT